CTATGCATCCATGCTTCAATCTCGTTTAAGTGTCTCTAGAGGCGTGCTCTGATTATTGACTAACTTCTGGCGGTTGCCAAAAGATTTCCGTGTCGTCGGCGTTGGATAGCAGCGCAAACTCCTGTCGGCCATGAAAATTTTAAAGAGGAACGAACTGAGTAGAGAGCCTTGCTTGGACGGGTCGAAATGATGACTTGCTTACGTTGGCTGTGTGACTGTGTGACTGTGTGATTTATTATCAAGCAGAAGCTCCTGTTCATAAGGAAAGCAGCCTGATAATGTGGGACTCCAGCTCATAGTAATTTGAGTATTAGACCTTGGTGCAACATTTTGTCGAATGCCTTGGCGATATCGAGGAAAACCGCCCCAGTTTCCATGCGTCTGTTGGCGCCCTGTAAGATCATGGTTGGCAGTCTAGTGGCTTGATGGACGTTGGAGTGTTCGCTTATGAATCCCATCTGTTCATTTGCGGGATCACGTTTAGGCGGTAACCAGAGTCTTGCAGGTCCGACTCGATAATCATATCTGCGATTTTTCCCAGGGTTGGTAATAGGCTTATGGGGCGGTAGCTACCTACTAGGATTTTGGTCAAACTCTCCACTTCTTAAATTTGATTGTTAGAAGATACTTATATTCCTTATACGTCATCGTTTGGCACGTGAAAGAGCCCATTCCCTAGTAAGAAAAATTTTAAAACATTTTTAGATGCAAATTATTCATGTGTAGATCGTTCTATATTTGTGAAGTACAAAATAATTAAACTGTCATTTTGAAGCATGGATTTAAAATGATGAAATCTCAATAAATTCCCAAAAGAAAATACACCTACATACACACACACACACACACACACACAATCGCTCTATTGTAAGACATTATTTTTATAACAGATTTCCGCTATTCGAAGCTCTAACAAGTTTCTTGTATTGAAAAATGGAAATAATGCATTTCCGCTGGATGATTTTTGTGTTCAGAAGGATGTATTGAATGAAAATTTCAAAATATTTTCATGTGCCTGATATATCCGGTTTTGTATACTTATAACAAAACAAAAGAAAGGATTGTACAAATTGTATTTTTGTATGTATAAGGTTATTTAACATATTATTAAGATTTTCGTAAACTTTGATCTGTCTAAATAAGAAAAAGTGGTCCTTTTTGAAAAATTGAAATTAAAATTCTCATTGAGAGACTAGCAGTGAGCTGGATTATTTTTTGAAAGTCCTTTGAATTTAGTCATAGGATTCTAATGGAAACAATCGTCTGCTAATGTGATCATTAGGTAAATTTTATCAAGTAAAAACACATCATTGTGAAAAAGTAAAAACTAAAAAAAAAAACATAATTATGAAAATTTTTGAAGGACTTTGTAGTATAAATATATTCGTTAATTTATTTTCACGGTGGTATAAACTCAAGTTTCGCTGCAACGTGTAAAATTTCTTTCGCACCTTCTTAATTACGCGAACATTTAAGAAAAATCCTAAATAATTTTAGTATTATTGATAGAAGGTAGGCATAATAGATCGTCCTACACGGTTGGAAATATTTTTAAAATAATGTTTTTGAGATCAAGGCTTAATCACCAACCTGATAACTTACTAAGTTAAGTAGAAAAAAGAACTTTTGGCTAATTTCGGTTTTATTTATTAGGTAAAAATCTAATTATATAAACCTAACGTTATGGTCGACAGTTGTATACATTTATTTAAAGACCACATTACATGATAATAATGCTTTAATAAATGAGTTGTGGTTTAAAAACATTTATAAATAGACACAAAATCATTAAAATGCAACTATGTGTGGTAAGAAATAGGATTTAAATTTGCTGTTTTTTGTCATGATAATTGCCAGATTTGGGGGAATAATAACTAAATGTGTAGGATTGTTTAAACCAAGACGAAAGAAGATTCAGGATTCCTACAGGCCTTAAAAAAACAGATGCCTACGGATTCAGCTTACATTAGTTGTAACCTCAATAAAACCGTTTATAACAACTGCGAAAATATATAAAATATAAATCTTTAACAGTTCTGTTATGTATGCCCATGCGGTATTATCCACTTTAACGGCAGGTAATAACAATAAAACAATGCATAATACTCCGATTAACCAACAGACACGTTTTTCCAAGGTTTTATACGCAGTGAAATCTGGATTTTAACGGTTTATAATTGGCTTTTAGGTTAATACTTAATCCGAAAATATCATGTATATAAACATTATATAAGAAAATTTAATCATTTTATTGCAAATTCTATCCGAAATAGGCATTTAGTGAATAGGTTAGTGATTGAGATGACTTCTAAATGCTGCTAATACCCTTTTATTTTCATCAAGTAAATGGCCTGAACTTCCCAGAGTCCCTGATGTGGGGCACTTAAAGACTGTAAGATCGAGTATTTTTCTAGCGATTTTCAACATAAATTTAATTGTACGTTTCCTCTGCATCCAGACACAGTAACGTAAATCTAACCAACTGTGCCTTGCCATTAGCTTTCCGCTTTGCAAAATTTGTTTTAAACTAAATGTATTTCGAATGAAATTTAAAAATACAGTTTGAATGGAATAAATGAACGTATTGGCCATTCCATCTAAGCATCTTGAGGATTTAATTATTGAAATCATAAAATCACTAAAATCAAACGTCATTCTTGTCACTGGATTATGTATAAGACTTTTCAAAGATATCTATTCCAATAAGAGCGCAATACTAAATAATTAATTAACCGATCCTCAAGAAACTATTTTCTAGTCTATTCTGTAACTTTTATCAAATCGAGATCGAAAACGTTAATAGACAATCGAGAGCGGTGAAATCGAGATGAACGTTATCGATTTTGACAAATTTCCTATTCTGTAAGTGCAGTCGATAAGTCTTCAAATCGAGATAGTAGTTATCGATTTGAAGATACCGGCAACATCGCAAATTTTGAATGACAACCACTGTCCAAATCGAATAAACGTCAACAAATTTGAATTTTAAAATGGATTTTTGAAGTACATAAGTAGAAAAGAGCGCCAAACGAGCAGAGTTCACGAAAAATCCCAGAGGATCATATTCTAGGATTGTATTCATCAACATAACTGTCCAATGAAAACTGAAATCAACACAAGTGTGCTTGCTTGCATTTAGTTTGAGTATCTTCAAATGGTGGTATGGCCCACAACCAAGAAAGTGTCGATTTCTACTATGTCACCTAAGTTAGTATAAAGCAAATGATGTTCAGGTACTCAACGTCGATAATACATGCATGGCTAAATTTGGATCAAAAAAATGTGGAGGAATATAATTCGTTTGAGAAGAAGTACCGCCAAGGTAAGCTGACCAGATTGAAGAAGTTATTGACTGTCATAGTTCTTCTTCCTTTCTGTCCACTTTTTACTATCAGAATTTTCTGGAGCCGGCTATGTTCTTGTTTTTCTTTGATTCGCTTTTTTCACCCTTTCTCAACAATAAATTCCAATGCAACATCTGATTTATTTGATCTTCCATTTTGGTAGTCTGTAGCCTTGTAATCCTCATAGAAGAAATTTTTCCAACTTCCTCGACTTGGGAAAAACGTAAATTTGGTAACGTCACACACCTTATAGCAGATATAAAACAAACACTTGAAATTTCTCTTTTAAAGTCTCCGACTGGCAAAATTTAGAAGATCTAACTAGTAACCCCAGGATAATTTCTCAGCCAGATCCTTCTTTTGTAACCTCTGCAATAAATATCTCGTTTGGTTATACGGTTTTATATGGATTAAGTACCGCATTTTTTTCTCACCTCATTTTCTCTATTCAAATATTTGTATGGTGAAACATTTAAATGGATGATTAAAAAAAATGGAAATTTTCAACGTATCAGAAAGAGCTTTTATGTATATATACAGGGTGTCCGGATATTCGACCGACAATGCTTGACAGCTGACAGACCTCACATTTCCATAATAATCGAGATAGGAACGCATGCAGCCTTAAAGTGCTTAATTTTCAAGATACAGGCTTTCAATGTTTTACTTTTATTTTTGATTTTTGTCAATTATTAGTCAATAAAACGACACAGAGATCCGAAATTACGTATCGACTATCAAGAGGTTTATTAAGGTGAGAAATACAAATTTACATACAAACACACAAACAATACAAACTCGCCCAAACTAAACAAACAAGTGTGGATGAAAAAAACATGAATTATAACAATAACAAAAAGGATGGGATGCCTAGGGAAGTCATATAGAGAAAGGCTTCTACCAATTTTTTTATATTCTTATAAGTAGAAATAAAATTTTCAATAAAATACTTATTAGGCCTGTTCGGGTTTGAAAAAAAAAGGACGGTTTCAGAAAGGAACGAAACAATCGCACAGTTTATCAATCAACAAAATGAAAACGGCTCGGCTTTCATAAATTTCAATAATAAACTGTGCGATTGTTTTGAACCGATCTAGAACCGTCCTTTTTTCAAACCCGAACAGGTTCATTCACGTGAATGTTTGTGCATGGAAAAAATATTAATCCAGTTCAGGTGATTAGCTATTGACCTAGGAACTATTACAGGAATATATCACGATTCTAATTCCTAATCCACATTGTAGTGCAAATGTTTCAAGTAACTTCTAAAGATTCTAGTGGATTGGGAAAAATTTTAGATATTGGTTTCATCAGTCATAATGTAAAAATAAGGCTAGGATGAAGCCGAAATGTGTTGTTAAGTTGAGCAATATTTCCATGAACGATCATGTTTATTTTTTCGTTTAGCATCGCAATGTTTTCATAATATAAGTTCTCAGTTTTCAGTCTTGGCGTTTTTTTGTTTTGAAGTTGAGTTTGCGTCCAAGGACATCCGATTCTGGTCCATCGGACATTGTTTTTAAAGTTTTGTTATTATTTTGCCGGCGTTGGCGCATGTATATCCTCGTGCTAATGGAAATCATTTTTCGCTGAAAAGTGACCTAGTTGTGGGCATAAAAAGCAGCAAACGCGTGGGTGGAGTGTCGGGATACTTACTTTTTCAGCTTGGTCCAATATGTTCGGCCGCGTTTAGTTGGTCGCCCCAGCCTGGTTCGTCGGCTATGCCCAGTCGCGGTGGGTCAGGTTAACATCGGGCCAAAAGGAGAGGCACCCGGACACATTCGCGCACAACTGCTGCTGTTGCTGCACGTTGCCAAACCAAGCCAAGCCGCTCGCTACCGCCGCTCGCTTGTGCTCTGCGTAGATTTCAGCAGGAAAACGCAAGAGGGCGCCGCTTGTATTGCGGCCGGCGCGAAAGAAGCGACCGATAGCGGATTTAGCGGCGACGCGACGCGTCCTGCCGTCGAGCCGCCTGCGCCGATCTTTCGAGCGGCAGCCGATTCCTGCTGACTCCCGACGCTGTTGCCACATGTTCCATAGCCGGATTTGAATTTTACCCGCTATTGTTATATAATCAAAACCCAAATGTATATACTCATTATCGACCTAGAATTCACCCTTTGAATCAAATCGTTATGGATATATATATTTTGGTTATTATATTCAAGAAAAATTATACCTAAACCATATATGACGAACAGACTCTCATCTAAAACTGTAACTTCAAGCAAGCCTTTTGTAAAATTTAATTTCACATGTAGCCGTTAATAATTAAATTATTTTTAGCTTTCCGAATCAAGTTTCATAATTTTATACATTTCGTCTTTAATAATGGGTTATTAACTTTCAGCGGGTTGCATTCTACGTAATTTTCCACATTTAATATTTGCGGTGTCAATATTATTATATACCTAAGGGCATAGTATAATTTACCATTTTTCTTCTTTTTTTTTTTGACGCGGTTGTTGGAGGTCGAATAAAATTCGTTTCATTTAGATTAAGCGGCGAAAAATAATTTGTGAATGAGTGTAATTTTCATGTTATACACGGTGAATAATGAAGCAATGCAACAATAGACAAAGTTGGGGTGTGTGCCAGTTCGCCGTTATTATAGGCTGCTGTCAATATCTGTAGCAGTTTTTGGCAGTTTGTTGAAAAGGGCCTGTTGGCGACAGATGCACCACTTATTAGAAAATGCATCAAAATTTTGTTGGCACAATTTCCAGAACGGTTCAACCGATTTCCTATCTAGGAAGCTCCTTTTCTGTAGATTTTCTATAACTCAATAGCTTGTCTTGCGGTCGTGTCGTAGTATTCTACAGGAATCATGAGCTTGGACATTGGGCAAAAGATGTCTTTTCAAAAGCTATGCCAATTAGGCCGTGTGGTTTTTTCTGGTTACCTACTCGATTACTCGTCAATTGAAACTCAATAAGTAGATCGGTAGGTAGAGATTTCTCCGTTTTTGGATTAGTACTTTCTGAGTGCCATTTTGCCACCTGAATTCGGAATAACTGTTGCTTGGAAACGGTTTGATGAACTTTGAATAGATTTCCGATTTTGAAAGCTCCGTTTTCAATTTCCGAATATAAAAATCACAAATTCACTTCACAAAATCTTGAACTGGAAAGATAAACGCATTTCCAGTGTTAATGAAAATGACGAATACCTAATTATTGTTGAAATAACACCGCACAAAAATTATCGCATCACCAATGCTTTTAAATATTTTGGCCACAGTAAATTTATTTAAAAAATTTCCCTAAATGGGCATATTTTAACTGAAAAACTCAAGTCAAGAAACATGTCGTTTCTTCTTCTGTTAGGTTCTTGTTTACTTTTTCGCAAGGGCGTCCATAGAACATTTTTTCAGGGGGGAGCAAAAACTTTGACTTATTTTTAGTTTTTAAATAATAGTAGATTATACCACGAGTCAATAATTATAGCTATTATTCCCGAGGAATATTTACGAACTGAGCCGCGTTAGCGGCGAGGGAGTAACAATCCGAGGGAATAATAGCCATTATTGCGAGTAGTATACTCTACTTTATTTACGACAATAATGACCATTAATCCCTCGCGAGAATAAAATATGGCATTATACTGCCAATATCACAAATATAATACTTACATTATATGTCAGTCGTTAATAAAACCATTTATGTAAAGTCCGTCGATTTTGATCTGATACTCTAAAAAAATGTGAGCTGGTGGCTCCCTATGTTAAAACGTCAATGGTTACCTGACGTCACACCTGTTTTTATGTGGTTTTTGCCATGTGCTTCACCCCCTCGCTCCTCATACGGAAAGTGTCAGATAAAAAACGACGGCCAATAGGTAACCATATGTACATATATTACCGAATGAATATAAGCAGTCTAAACTGTACTCATTTGTAATGACGTCATTTTAAAAAATAAACACACATTGCACAAACAGAATGTCAATTTGACAATTATTATTTATTGTGTAAGCAACTTTTAGTATCACTTTTGCTATTCTGTTTCTTTATTCTTCTGGTAGCAGTGGTAGCATCATGAAACAATAATAATCTCCAGGCCTAGGGGGGGGGGCAAGTGTCCCATTTGCCCCCCCCCCCCCCTATGGACGCCCCTGTTTTTTCGGGAAAATGCGGATAGGCATACATTCCACTTTGCAATTATGCTGTTCATTTCTGTATTTTCTGCTTTGATAGATGCGATAATTTTTGTGGGGTGTATAATTTTTTGTCAACCCCTAAGTTTTAATTTCATCAAGATAGGATTACCTATATTGCATTAGGAAAAAACTATATGCATATCACATAATAAAAAAAACTAGAAAATGGGCTTGTGACACGGAATATAGAACCTCCTTTCATCGAAAAATTATGCCGACGCTTTGACCATGTAGCATTTTGGTCTTTTTTCAAGGGCTACAAACAAAAATCACTCATTTCTCGTTGTTAATTCATTTTATTGTTGCCGATATATAAATATAAAATTGATCGTTGTACATAATATGCCGTTTTGTTTTTTAATTAGTATGGGATAAAAGCTTCAGCGGCAGCTAAATGCTTTTATTTATAGAATTCAATTATTTGACGAGTCTTATGTAGAGAACTATTTTTAGGTTAAATTGCGTTTTGATGAATGCAATCGATTTGCGCGGCGCTCGATATTCAATTCTAACTCGAAAATCAATATAAATTTGGAGCACATTTTAAAAATACATATTCTGCATCTAGTTTTCAAATTTTTGTTTCGTTTTCTTCTCCGCCTATCCCATCCTAATGTTGGCGATCATTTTGGCTATCCTATAAAGTTATCTACTGTTATGCACAAAAAAATCCATCGATTGAGAACCAAATTCTGTGTTTTTTAAGCCAAGATATTCTTCTTCTTCCCAGAAGCCTCTTCTACCAAGCACTTTGACGGGTAGGTAATATTATGCGCTGTACACCATACCGTCTGAAGTCATAGGGATTTTACGCCCAAGGGTATGCAGATGATGTAGCGATACTCGTTCAAGGGGAAACGTCCCACGGTCATAGAAGAAGTTATGCAAACAGTCCTGATAGCTGTACAACGCTGGTGCGAGGAAGCAAACCTCATGGTCAAACCCAGAGAGACCGCGATATTACCTTTGAATAGCGAAGGAACAGGGGTGAATACTAGTGTTGTAACAAGCGAACTTTACCGAGCGAACTTTCGCACTATTACCGTAATTTATGGTAATGTTCGCTCCTCTCTAAGCGAAAGTTCGTTGAAAATGCATTTCTAAACGTTATAGACCGTCAGATATTGACATATTTAGGTGCCCCATTTTCGCATACAAGCCTCGAAGAGGGTTGAAAAGTACATCGATTTTGAGTAGGATGAAAGTATTTTCACGAGTAGCTTATGGGGATAACATATGGAAAATTCGATTTTGTTTATGTTACCCTGAAATGTACTTTTCCATTCGCGACACTCAAGACAATTATGTTTTCTTACTACCTACTTTGTAGATTTTCATCCTTCCGAAGGGCTTGTGTGGAAAAATCGCCCAAAATCTCGATTTTTCCTTACAAGATTACGCCCTTATTTCAAACCTTTAGCCACCTGCAACACCCTTTTCTTTGTTTTCACGAAGCCAAGTTTTATTATTTAGTCCTGGTGAACACGGCTTGCGAGAAAATATGGGCATCGAACGTCTTTCATTTCTGTTATGAAAAATCGAATTTTCCATATGTTATCCCCAGGAGCCACCCGTGAAAATACCTTCATCCTACTCAAAATCGATGTACTTTTAAACCCCTCTTCAAGGCTTGTATGCGAAAATAGGGCTCCTAAATATGTCTCTATCTGACGGTCTATTACCTAATTGTTTAATCATGGACATGGACCCTGATTTCTGAATATTTTTATTATCTTTTTTTTATTTTATAACTACTTGTGTTATTACTATTACCTACAGAAAGTTCGTTTTTTAAGTTCCTTTTTGTGAGTTCCTATTTTTATTTTCAAATTTATTTTTTTATAATATTTTTTGTTTTGACTTAACACTTTATGTAGTTAAGTTATGTAGGTATTTGCATTTAAAGATTTTTGAGTTTTATTTTTTGGTGCTACCACTGCTACGTACATCCTACATCTATGTTGTTTTTTAGTTTGTTTTTTATTACACCAACTTACAAGAACAAAACTTGTATTAGTTTTATAAATATAATGTATCCTTTTCTTCACAATAAATTAATAATACTTAGACAAGGGTTAAATCTACATTTATGGAAAATTCACCTAAACCTACCAGAGAAAAGAAAAATAGGAAAATTTAGTGGAACTTTATTATCAATAGACATTTTTACAAGCCCTACATTAAAAAGCCGAATTTATAGGTGCTTTTGCAACATTCTCTAAAGTTCTCATAAATTCTCTAAAATTATCAAACATTCCCGAAAGTTTGGTAACGTTCGAAAATTACCGAGAATCTTACAACACTAGTGAATACAACCATATACAACCTAAGCATCTTCGGAGAAAGGTTTATGATAGTTGTCGAAATACCTAGGTTTAATCCTCGACGCCAAGTTAACATGGAATGCACATCTAGAGAGAAACCTCAACAAAGCAAAAATGTGTCTAGTAAGATGCAGAAGTCTGTTGAAAAAAACATGGGGTGTGAAACCAAGGATGATGCTATGGCTTTACGCCACAGTTATCAGACCCATATTTGTATACGGAGCTGCAAAGCACTGGCTCGCAGAAGACAATTTATTTGCCAGTTAGCTGCTAGATCTCATCAAAGGGGCGAAACTTGCTTAAGCAAAACAAAGGGTAGCATAATAAGCCCTAAGGCTGCAGTTAGGGATATAAGCCAATACAATGTCATGTCACAGTCAAAATGAAAATGACGGTCACGTCATGTATTTTTATGACACTCCTGTCATTTATTTTTTTAACGATTGAATTTTCGGTCAATTTATTAACCTACCGTAATTAAAATATATGACCGTCATTGAAATATATGAAAGTGTCACAAAAATATTAGCTGACTTTCGATTTTTTCTGTCAAACTAATGGAGAAGATGGAAGCTGTACCTACTTTCTAACTTATTGAATGACTTTGATGTTGATGACTGTGAATCTGAACAAGAGCTTTAGTCAACCATTCAGATATCCGATTATTCATTTGAGTTGTTATGTTCTACATTGAAGATAAATGACCATAAATGACAATAAATGACAAAAATGACAAAAAAATTACTGTCACGTATCACAAAAAATAAATGACCGTCATTTTACATCCCTAGCTGCAGTACAAATCAGGGC